TCTATACTCGAATTCTCGACGTTCATCCTCGAATTCCCCGTCGTTCATACACGAATTCTTGTTGTTAGTACTCGAATTCTCGTCGTTCGTATTCGAATTCTCGTCGTTTATACTCGAGTTTTCGTCGTTCATACTCGAATTCTCGTCGTTCATACTCGAATTCTCGTCGTTCTCGTTCATACTCGAATTCTTGTCGTTCATACTCGAATTCTCTTCGTTCTATACTCGAATTCTCGTCGTTTATACTCGAATTCTCGTCGTTCATACTCGAATTCTCATCGTTCATACTCGAATTCTCGTTGTTCATACATGAATTCTCGTTGTTCATACACGAATTCTTGTAGTTCAGAAACGAATTCTCGTCGTGTCAGTTGTCTACGAATTTAGGTCTCTTATCCAGGAATTCTCGAAGTATGATGAAATCCAATGAGCGACTTCCCTGCTGATTTCGTAGCGTTTTATTGCGCTTATCGTGGTGCTCCACCGCTTTGCTTCCTTCCTTTCTTCTGGTGCTAAATGTGTAGAAAGATTTCAATGATTTTATCGTACGTTATTTTCAAATAGACATTTAAACCATGACGGTTTATTAATGAACAATGACTCCAATGAAATTATTACAGGATAACATATTAATGACGTGCATCATCGAATTGAAGTAAAACGAAAACGGACGATATGAATTTTATGAATGGTTTATTAAAAGCCATTACTTTCTTGTTTGTGGGAATGATAAACTCGTAGTTTGAACGACTCAATGATTGACTCAGACTACTGATGGTTTATGTCAACATATTGATAGCAACAAATATACATCTAAATACACATAATCCTGAATAAACTGTGAATGTTTATGCATTTATTCTTCATACATGCTTTTTTTATTGCATGTATAAAAGTAAAAATTCCTAAACATTCATATTCTAGTCGTAATACTAACATATTTGCCACAGGGTTTTCTTTGGGAAAAGGAAAAAGTGCAAGAATACGTACCCGTGGTAGTGTTGGATGTGTAGAGTCCACCACGCTGTACCCCACGGGTCTCAAGGTGCCATCAGGATCTGAATCAGGTGGTGGAGCGCCGGGCATCATGTACGAAGGGTTTGGCATAATTCGTGTTTGTTTATTAAAAGCGGATCGTACTCCGCCATCAAGCCGACCACTAAGCGCGTTATATTAAATAAACTCCACACGTTAGTTTCGAAAACGTGTCTACACAGGTCAGCAGAATGTGGCTTCTTGTTCTTGAAATTGTAAATATTTTCGTTGCCAACAACCTTAGCGGAATTAATTAGCACCCTCACGCTCCCGAATTTCATCTTCGCAGATTCAATGCTCTCTAATACGTCCTTGTCGAATTCATATAATATATTCATTATAAAAACATTGCGTATTATTGTTAATTCAAAGTTTCGTTAAAACATGAAAATTTTACAATGTAAAATATCTATCGGACTACTTGTATTTTGATCATTTTGTCGTCTTGTTAGTTATTATCTTATAGAGACATTAATATTATATTAAGTTGATTTACATAAAACAAAATTTGAAATCCACCTACTTTCTTCTGATATATAAGTATAAATACAAACTAATTTCCTTCTTATTCTATGTACTTTTGTTCGACTTTTGTATGTTTGTTATGTGTATTCGCGGGGAAAAGCGTTTGCGGTATAACGTGTCAACGAAGGTCGTAAGTCGTCTCGTCTCGATAAGATAATCGACGTCACGAATCAAACAATCGCCTATTTGAGTTAAGATAATAGAGGCGGTTTGAGTGATATTCGCACAACAATTAAAATATCACTTAACACTGAGTCAACAATTGAAATAGCAACACTGAGTTACCAATTGAAATATCACTATTTCCAACAACTTTTGATTACTATAAGTGTCTACGAGTGTTTGAATGACAAGTGTAAGTGTTCTTGCGGGAGAGCGGATACCTGGTATGTCTTGACGGAAGAATTGTTATTAATTGACGATCAGGTAAATGATGTCGAACTACTAATAAGCGTCATCCCCACCATCGGTCGCTCTCATGGTGGAAGAGGCCCTGCAATACCATACAGGGGAAAGACCACTTAATCCACGAATTTCCGTGATAGTATTTCTAAGATCATATCGTAAAACCTCACGACCTCTGCAATAAGAAAAATCTCTAATCAGTTCCTTGGAAATAATGCGGGTTCGAGCAAATACGATTGAGTAGTTGTTGACTACCTCGGCGGAAGTATGGATTAGATTATATAATACGGTCATGGGAAGTAATATTTTCATTGTAGCTTGCATTTACAAGTATATTCTAAGACGTTTTAAATATGTACGTTATAAATATATACACAAAATTCTTTATATTGTTAAAAACGAAACGGTACCTTTCGTAATAAAAATCGTATTACTTAAGTTGATTCCTGTTGAAGCTCCAAAAAAAAGTAATACTTTCAAAACGACTGAAATTAAATTAAATAATTCGATAATTCACTGTAAATAGATTTCTAAATGACAACAAATAACTCTAAGTATTCAGCAATTAAGTAGTATTTTATATTAGATAATGTCGGATATATATTTGTAAAAAGATTTATTGCAAAAGAGAGATTATGTATTTTACACGACTGTCCTACTTGTAAATACATATGCTTATGTTTAGTTGCCACTGTATCTCTGCATAAAACCATAACTATAAATGCTTAGTGGATCTTTTCCTGGATAGTACCAGTAGCTTAAATCTATAACTGTATTTTCACCCATTGACCACGGCTACTTGCCATTTGAACGCGGATTTTCGACATCTGAAATTGAATTCTCGCCATGTAACCACAGATTCTTGCCATTTATCAAAGATTTCTTGTCATTTGTCCAAGAATTGTCGTAATTCATCTCAGGAATCTTACGATTTATACACGTATTCTAGAGATTTGTTCAGAAATTGTGGAGATTTGTCCGCGAATTCTCAAAATTTGTGCACGAATTCTCCCCATTTGTGCACAAATTCTGCGTATTTGATCGTTAATTGTCACCATCCATCCACACGTACCTGTCCTTCACCCACACATATCTGCCAGTCGTCCATACATACTTGCCATTCAACTATACATACTTGGCACTCGCCCGCTGATACTCACCAAGCGTCTCTATAGAATGAGGATTCGTCCGCGAATAATCAGGTTTCTTCCACGGATACTCATGTTTCATCCACGAACACCCACGATTCGTCCGCCGATACACACGATTCATCCGCAGATACTCACGATTCATTTGCGGATACTCACGATTCATTTGCGGATACTCACGATTCATTTGCGGATACTCACGATTCATTTGCGGATACTCACGATTCATTTGCGGATGCTCACCATTCATTTGCGGATGCTCACCATTCATTTGCGGATACTCACAATTCGTCCGCGGATACTCACAATTCGTCCGCGGATACTCACGATTCGTCCACGGAAACTCACGATTCGTCTGCGGATACACAACATTCGTCGGCGGATACACAACATTCTTCGGCGGATACACAACATTCTTCGGCGGATACATAACATTCGTCCGCGGATAAAATTCATTCGTCTGCGGATACAATTCATTTGTCCGCTGATACACAGCATTCGTCCACGAATTCGCGTTACTTGTACGCGGCTCAAAGCCACTCATCCACGAATTTAATTCCCTCGTCCAGAAATTCACGCCAGTTGTCCACGCATTCTCTTCAGTTGTCCACGAATTTACGTCCTTTACCCACGAATCCTCGTAGTATGCTGGAATCCAATGAGCGACTTCCTTGATGGTTTCGTCGTCTTTTGATTCTTCTTCCGTGGTGCTCTGCTGCTTTTCTTCATTTTTTTCCTGTGGAGCTAAATGTGAACAAAGATTTCCGTGATTTTATCGTACGTTATTTTCAAATAGACATTTAAACCATGACGGTTTATTAATGAACAATGACTCCAATGAAATTATTACAGGATAACATATTAATGACGTGCATCATCGAATTGAAATAAAACAAAAATGCGCGATATGAATTTTATGAATGGTTTATTAAAAGCCATTACTTTCTTGTTTGTGAGAATGATAAACTCGTAGTTTGAAGGACTCGATGATTGACCCAAATTACTGATAGTTTGTGTCAACATATTGATAGTCACAAATTTACATCTAAATACACATAATCGTGAATAAACTGTGAATGTTTATGCATTTATTCTGCATATATGTTTTTTTTATTGCACATGTAAAAATAAGAATTCCTAAACATTCGCAGTCTAGTCGTAATACTAACATACCTGGCTTTTTTTCGGGAAAAAAAAGTGCAAGAACACGCTCTCTTAGTTTCATTGGATCTATAAGGATCTCTGAGCTGTTCTCCACGGAGGTGCCATCCGAATCAGGTGGTGGAGCGCCCGCCAACCCCGCCATCAAGCCGGCCACTAAGCGCGTTATGTTAAATAAACCCTACACGTTAGTTTCGAAGACGCGTCTATACAGGTCAGCAGAATGTGGCTTCTTGTTCTTGAAATCGTAGATACTTTCGTAGACAACAGTCCTAGTGGAATTAATTAGCACATTCAGCCCTCCCCCCCCCGATTTTCGCCTTCGCAGATTCAGTGTTGTCTAATACGTCCTTGTTGAATCTTGCCTAAAAAGTTAAAAAATATCATACAATTATTCATTATGAAAACATTGCGTATTATTGTTAATTCAAAGTTTCGTTAAAATATGAAAATTCTACAATGTAAAATTTCTATCGGTCTACTTGTATTTTGATCGTTTTGTCGTCTTGTTAGTTATTATCTTATAGAGACATTAATATTATATTAGGTTGATCTACATCAAATAAAATTTGAAATCCACCTAGGTTCTTCGATATATATGTATAAATATAAACTAACTTCCTTGTTATTCTATGTACTTTTGTTCGACCGTATTCACGGGGAAAAGCGTTTGCGGTATAACGTGTCAACGAAGGTCGTAAGTCGTCTCGTCTCGATAAGATAATCGACGCCATGAATCAACCAATCTCCTATTTCAGTTAAGATAATAGGGATGGTTTGAATGATATTCATACTGAATTAACAACTACAATATCGCTTAACACTGAGTTAACAATTAAAATATCATTATTTCCAACAAGTTTTGATTAGTATAAGTGTCTACGAGTGTTGCGAATGATATGTGTAAAAGTGTTCTTACAGAAGAGCGAAAACCAGGTGAGTCATGACCGAGGAGCTGTTATTAACTGACAATAGGTAAATGATGTCGAACTATTAATAAGCGTCATCCCCACCATCGGTCGCTCTCACGCTGGAAGAGGCCGTGCAAAACCGTACAGGGAAAAGACCACTTATCCCATGCTTGGCCGTAATGTAAACTTTAGGTATTTATTGTATAAATTGGGGATCTCTGCAATAAGAAAAATCTCTAATTCTTATGGTTTATGAGCAATAAATCAGTTCCTTGGAAATAATGCGGGTTCGAGCAAATACGATTGAGTAGTTGTTAACTATCTCGGCCGAAGGATGGATTAGGTTATATGCTACGGTCAAGGAACGTAATATTTTCATTGTAGTATCTGTCACGTTTCGCGACCCGCACGATCTGTAACGCAAAAGTAAAATTAATAATTTCTTTCAAATCAAGGTAATTTAAAACGTTTATTTGAAACTATGTTTACAGTATTTGAAGTGAAAGTCAGTTAAAGTCACTGAAAGCCATATCTTGCGAATACTTATTTAAGCATGTTTTTATATATACCCAATTTTGTTTCTATAACGATATTAGGACAATTTAAATTGTAAACAAAGTCGGCAGTTGAACAAACGTTGAGGATCTTCCCAAACATTTTCAAAAGAAAGACCCCGACGTTTTTTCATCTCCGACCGATATAAATATAACGACTCTGAAAAGTCAAACTTGTTTTTTTTTAATTTGTTTATTTAAATTTTAAGTTGATTCTTGTTGAACCTACAAAAATGTAATAATTTCAGAACGATTGAAATTAAATTAAATAATTCGATCATTCGCAGTAAATAGACTTCTAAATAACAACAAATAACTAGGTATTCAACAATTTAGTACTATTTTATATTAAATAATGTCCAATATATATTTGTAAAAGGATTTATTGCAAAAGAAAGATATTTATTTTACACGACTGTCCTGCATGTAAATACATATGCTTATGTTTGGTTTCTTCTGAACGTTTTCATAGATTCAACACTTTGAATCTTTGTGAATCTTCTCCTTGATTGTACTTGTAAAACCGTGACCACGTGTCACCACTGTGACGCCTTGCTAACAGTTGATAGCGACATATTATAACAAGTCTTCGTTTATTTCAACAAACCATTCGCATTCGTTATTTCGTCGTAAGCAAAACGCCCAAAATATATTGTTGAAACGTGTAGAAAATATTAGTAAACAGTATTTGCTCATTCTATATATAATACTAAGATATGTGCACACTTCTAACTCCAATTATATGATTATAAAGCAGCGTTTACGATTATTTTCTAAGGTGTGTTTATAATAATATTCGTAAATTACCCCCCCCCCC